ACCCAAGCAAAAACGACCCAATTTTTTGGGTTATTTATCTAGATTCAGCTCCACGTACATCTAGATGCACGTGGACCTGAATCTAGATAAATAACCCAAAAAATTGGGTCGTTTTTGCTTGGGTATGGACACAGTTTGAAAGTTTGGTACGGTTACCTATGCGACATGCATCAAAAGACGAACTGCTATTTCTTTGCAGGTGTCAGCAGGTGATAGTTAGCTGAAGAAAAATAAATATGAAAATTCATGCCCCGTGTCCTTCGAGCCTATTGACTTTTGTATTAACATGCTCTAGTTTATATTCTCTTTGGTCCATCTTTAATATTGTTTCCTTCAAGGCTTTATAACCTTTTAGCTATTTAGTTTAATAACGGTCAGCTTCCTTGACAGCAGCTACCTTTCCTGCCTCATGACCACCTTGATCGGCAGCAGTGAATTTTTAAATCTAAAAGTAACAAAACAGATACGTAATATATTGTCAGATGCACGTAAGGCAAAGATCCAGCAGAATTTAGTTTTCTATATTTTACACACTATTTGATAGAGAATCGCTCGCTGATCATGAATATGTGTTCCCGGCCTCTCAAAATCGTTTCCTCGCTGAGAAAATTGTAAAATACTATGAAGAGGTCAAAAATCCGGTTTTCCACGCCTTTTTTTAAATTTGAGTTTTCTAAGTTTGGTTACAACTTGGAACGTTCAAAGTCAGATATTTTTGTTCAGCGTTGAAAAGTGAACTAGAATATGGAATAAAAGCCTTTATATATCTAAACGACTATTCGCCAAAGACGTTAAAAGCGAAGCGACTAAAAAACAGGTCTCATTTTAGCAAAAACGGCAGGTGCTTTCTGGAGAGTCCCGGAGTCAATATTTTTACATAATTAGATTTGCCGGATGCTCCTCTTCAAAGCAACGGCTCGCTTTTTTCAAAAATTTGTTTCATTCCTGAGAAAGTACATTTTTTCTGAATCACAAGCGAAAAGATCCGAATTCTGCCCGTAATTCTCTATTTTCTCCATCAGAACTCATTTTTTATGCAATAAAAATATCATATTCGGAGTTAGCATCGAAAACCGAATCGAATGATATATGTTTCGAAATTTTTCGTTCGCCTTACTTATAATCCCTTACTTATAATCATCGCATCTTACTTATAATCAAGGTGGCCCTGTCTGTTCCGCCGGCCCTTTCCAGAAAGGAGATGGATCACGGACTGGCTTGTTTTAGTAGAGACAGCGACTGTATAAATCACTGATGTTGTCTATATCAGCATCAGCTAGTACAACGGACCGGTGTCAGAACGAAGCGATATAACGGTATTTTGAATTTTAAGATCTTCAAAGTTTTTTAATTTTTTTCACTTAAAATTTCGATTGGAAAGGTTAATACATCGATTTCCTTGATCAGCTCGATGAGCTGAATTGATTACTTTATTCTGGAATTTTTTTTGAGTATTTTAATCCGGCATTTTTAATATTTTATAGAGTGCTTACATTATTCTTCTTCTACTTCACGTCGCCAGTATTCTGAACCGTCGCCGTATTCTGATCATTAACTATTGTTTCCGTTCGCAAAAAAATGGCTTAGCGAGATTTTGTGTAAGTTAGGAAAAAGAAACTCATTCTCGATTCCACGAATTGATCAATCATCTATCATATTTCAAATATTTTGCCATCATTGATTTCAAACCAGGTTATTTTCAAGTTTCTCTCGATCCTAAAGATCATTCAAAAACGGCATTTTCCAGCAGAGATTAACATCTTCACTTAACTGTTTTGCCTCAGGCATTATTAATGAACCATCCACATCTCAAAGAATCGTCAACCAAATATTAGGACCAACTCAATGGAAATATTCATTAGCATACCTAGGTGATATTTTCATTTATTTTCAAACATTTGAGGAAGGTCTGTTACACTTGGATGATATTCTCAGGCGTCTCAATCAAGCAAATTTCCGTCTCAATGTTGATAAACGTAATTTTGCACAACAAGCCATTGGTTATCGTGTTAATAGTTTTTCGAGAAATTCTAAGAATGGTAACTGGCGAATTTTATTAGATGGCAATGCTCGTTTGTGAAACAAAATAGAAAACCGAACAAAAACCTAGTTTGTTATTTCGAAAATATGCTGTGTGCAGGAATTAATAATCACCGCTTCTACCACATTGTTCGATCAAAACGTATCAGATTTTCGATATGGAATTCATTACAGCTGATTGTGCTTGAAATTTCTTGATTCAAATATCATCGTTAGTAGTGGTGGTGCAGCGAGGTTAATTGGTGAACAATTTGCTGTCGAGTCAAGTATTGAAATAACAATATACAGTGTGATAAAAGTCACTGCTGATATGAAAAATAAAGCAGCCTAAAACAAAGTATATATGAGACTCAGTTGCTTGAAAAAAATAAAAAATTTGAACTACGGGTTTTTGGTTAGATGCCCTGATGATAATGTACCCATTAGATCAATAGAACTAAGTTTTAGATACGTTACAGAAATATAATAGCCTTTCAATTTATATTTTGATATTTATCTCTCGTCTCTAATTTAGTTTTCTTTAGACTCTTTGATTTTCCTAATAAATTTACTCCTAAAATTGTATCACATAGTTCATTATCATCTGAGAACATATTTGATAATTTATACATTGTATGAACTCGATGCGCAACTCACGAACTGTTGATGTCGAAAATTGGTTGTGGATGACAAAAATTGTGTTAAAGACAGAGTTTTTGGAAGAGTGAACTGGAAACTTTTATTAATATGTAATTAGTAAATTTTGGGTGAGCAAAATCCATTGCATATCGTTATATAAATCGTGTTTCCGATTGAACACTTTCCTTCTGCATGTCTATTATAGATCAGTAACTGGAGGAATTTCAGAACGTTCTCGAAGTGTGTTTCACTTCTGATGAAACTATACGTCAGCAGAAAAAACTGTAATTTGAATTCCGTGATCTGTTGTGCTTGATGTAAAGAAGCTCTATCATTTGAACATTTCTTCGTTGATTATCATTTTCATTAGTTGATATCAGGCATGGGCAAGTCTAAAAGGGTACCGAGTACGAGTCCTTAACATTAAGAACCGAGTCTATTTCGAGTCGGGTAATCTTTTAGATTCTTTTTGGATGAGTGTGGTTTATTTCTCCTTTTTTAATTTACTGAGCCCTGGATAGATATTTGATTTTTCGAAAATAAGGCTACTGTGCATGTTCGTCTTCCGAGCAAAATTTTCAATTTCTTGCGAAACAGAAGGTGTTGTTATTTCGCTTTTTGTTTTTCTCTGTTCATTTGTGTTAAAAGTTGGATAGATCGGACTCGAAAAACAAAAACTCAAGTTCGGGTCCAAGTCCGTCAAAAAATCTTCCAGTCCGGACTCGGACTCGCCCATGCCTTGTTGATATGCGTGTAATAAAATAAAGAAGAGTACAGTGTAATACACATGTACACAAAAACTTCTGGATCTCTATGTTTTTAGCACAGATCAGAGTGGAAGTTCTAGTGGAGCGTATGGGTGGTTATGTCTGTCAAAACAAGACTCTAAATCGTTTAAATCCTTTCTGGACTATGAAAAATAAAAAGTCAGATTAATTGCAATCTATGTTTCTTCCACAGTGAAAATTCAATAAAGCTATGGAAACAATTTGGAATAGTGTGATTTTCTACAATTATTCATAGTTTTGGAGGCCTACCTAATGCACATGGATCCCTCTCAAAAGCGATGTATCATGTATGTATGTTCCCTCGTCAGTCAAAGAAAAACGCCTTTGGAAAAAATTTATATTTTGAATCACAGTAGAATTTTACCTTACCAAACAAAAATTGTTTCTTTACTTTTACAAAACAAAGCTGCATTTTCATCTACTTTCCAAAAGTAAAGTAAAACCTATTATTTAAAGCAAAAGTAAAAGCATAGTTATGCTTTTTCTTGATACAGACCGTTATTTTCGTAAAAGGTAAGTCAAACAGAATTCTTGTTATCTACCATGAAAAAACCATGTCACTTTCTTTACATTGTTGCCGTTGAGTGGAAGATCATCATACCGTTATAAGGCACAAATACAGCGTAACAGCGTCACTTTAAACGTGTTCTATTTGCAGCAATAACACTATCATATTTCGATTTCAAATCTAAAAGTGTTTCATATCTATTACACTTTTATTTTATACAGATAGTACATCAGCCAACAAAACCATTTTCCTAGAGCTCTGTGTAACCAACAAAAGCCTATGCCATTCTTTCTGTATGACTCTTTTCATCATAGCCTCGCACTTTTCGGTTACTTTCTTACAATGTATTACAACAGAGGCCACTATTATGCAGCTAAAGCGTTTGTTCTGGAAGTTAGTGAGTATTGAAATACCCTAAGTTGGTTTGTGCGCATGGTGCTTTGTTGTTGAGATACTGGACTTTTAGTCAGTTTTGCCTTTTTTGTAAGTTTGCAATCAAACGTTGAAAGTCGGATTTTGCTCAAAATCCAAGCTCCATAGGCAAAACTGACTAAAAATCCAGTATCTCAACAACAAAGCACCATGCGCACAAACCAAGTTAGGGTATTTCAGTACTCACTAAGATCTGCAAGATAAAACTAGTCTGAGTTCAACAGCGATTTATAACCTCAAGAGGTTCCCTCGTTAGCTCTTCAGTAAGCTTCAAAACTAAATTCACTGTTCCTGTTTCCATCAAGCAACACGAGTAGTTAACAAAAAAGTTGGTGTATGGTGCTTCCGGATTATGGCAAACGTCACTTCAACAGAGCTCTAGAAGCTCAGAGGTGTCAAAGCTGAATTGACTTCTGGTATTATATGACCTGTGCCAGACGAATGTTTTCCATTAAACATCGAATTGAAAATTTTTCACAAATTTTTGGTTTAAGCAAACTTTTTACTTTTCGTTTCCTTTTCTTTCGCTATAATCCCGTTATTATTACTTTCATCATACAATGTTTGGGTAGTGATATTATTGACTATCGAACAATTCATAACAGTTTAATTTTCAGATTAAATCTCTAAATTGAAATGCTTTGGTCGAAAAATCACCTTGAACTAAACGATGACGTTGAACATTGGACGCATTCAGTACTGGTTAGAAAACCCAGGTTATAGCTGCAGTGGCCATATACGACGAGTTACGACCGTGTACTGTAATGTATCACGCCGCAAATGGTCGTAACCCGACGTAATTTGGCCGTAATCCCATGCTCCGTAACACGGCAGCCGTAAACAACCTTTTACGAGGCCGTTTACAGCCATAATGGGCTGGTATACGCTCGTTTGTGGGGGGGGGAGTATTACGGAGCATAGGATTACGGCGTAGCAAATCGGTTGTTCGGCCCTTTACGACTGTTGAATCACCTAAAGAGATATTAGTGCAGATAATAGTAGACGAGAACAGAAAATGGCAAGAGCGAGGACGGGATTACGTAATGAGTTAGAGTATATATTCAACAATGTTTGGATTTAGAAGTTATATTAAATTAAATTTTTCTCTTCTCACTTCTTGTCAAGGAGACGAATTGCCTCATTTTTATTTTACATGCTTAAAGCGTGATTTTGACTGTGCCCATTGGAATGATATCTTTTTCCTTTTAGTATAATGAAATTTCTTTGGAAAATCAATGTTATAAGTATTGGCAAAAATTGAGCTTCACATTTGTGAAGCATTTAGTCTTTATTATTGCATATATGCGTTTACGCTATCACATTGCAGTTTTGTCTTGTATTTTTCAACATTATAACAAGTTACGGATTACCTAATATTATGAGATGAAATAGACATAAACCGTCTAACAACCCGATGTTAGTTTAAGCTTTAATCTTGAACCAGAACGAAATCGAGAATATAAATTCTCATTATATCATTCTGAAACTTAAACTATCAAAACACAAAATCAAGCCTTGCACGAAGCTAGGATCGAACACACGAACTTGATCTTTGCAGACGAACTGCGATGTTCTGAGGCAAGCGTCAGTGATGGCATTGTGACTTACAGAACCAGAAATATTAAAAATTGACAGTTTGCTGTTTTCTGAGAATATCAAACAAAAAAATAAATTAGACTATCTGGACAATGACAAATAATAGTCATGTATAATGAAAAAACGATTATTATAGACTGGCTATTTTTGAACAGTTTTTTGTCAATTTAAAACGACACTTTTAGGCATTGCGTCTCCAGTTAAAATGGCGAAAAAATTGTGTGAAATGAGTAAAAAATATTTGACAGCCAGTTAATGATCCATTAAAAAGCATTTAATGGTCCGTTAATGTTTTCGATGTCATGGGTAGCAAAAACCTTAGTTAAAAGCCCCTACTTAATTGGAATCATTGAAGGATCGAGAAAAGACAAAATGTTTTGTTCGAACGTTTATGTTAATCATGTCAATTGTTCCTAATGATATCCTAAATGCGGCACACTAAACATCAAGCACAGTGATATATACATTCAAGTATTGCAGACCACTTAGAATTCACAGACATTGTCTTCTACTTGTAGTAGATAGATACTAAGCATCCACACGCTTCTCCGAAGGGAATAAACGGCGCAGTATCCCTGTCGACTAAGGATGTAGATACTGTTCACGAATAGAATCAATGTCCGATTCAACGAACGGTTGCAACTGATCATTGTTTTCGATCTCCATCCATCCATAAATTTTATCTCCATCATCAATATAATAGGCACCTTGATGAAATCTTAATGGAGCTCGACGAGCGTAGTCGCCTGGCCAATAGTGACACAAATTGTTTTGCTCGGCAATATGAACATAACCTGATACAACATCGGTGATCACGGAAACATGCCCGTAAGGCATCTTTCGACTACGAGGATAGATGAGCAATGAATCCTTTTTCGGTGGTTTCGGAGAACCATTTGGAACAGGACACAATGGAAAATGTCGACCGTCAGTCACTCGCTCGATGTACGGCAATTCATCCCAAATGTTAAAAGCACAAGGAATATCTTTGAATGTGCAGCTCTTGCGCATCAACAACCATCGACGAGCAAATTCAACACATTGCCATTGATATCCTGTAAAGACGCCATGAAGATAGTTAGGTCCAGTGCGGAAGAAGCTACTATTCCTGTTCGAATAGGCAGGAACATTTGTTGAAGCAATTCCTTCGACATCGTTGAAAGGGGCAGGTCTCGTTCCAGCACATGACATCGTGGATATCCTATTAACCAGAAATATTTCAAGGAGTATATAAGCGTCATTAGTAGATGTTAGGGGAAAAGGTCAACGACTGCTATTGGTCCCATCTTCATAGTATTACTGGAAGTTCCGAAAATCAGTTCAAGAATTTCAGGAGCATCCCATAACAGTGATTCCAGTGACAGGCTCTACAATATCGGACGGGAGTTTCGTGGGTCCTCAGGAATTTTTTTTCCGAACAGCTACATTTAGTAGAGTGAACACACGCACATTAGCGTAGCTCCGAAAACGCTCAAAGTTTTACAGAATGTTTATCTATATGTCCTCCATCTATGGTGAATGCATAAACATGTATAAATGCTCCCGGACCGTACAGCAAGTTTCCCAAAAAACCTATTTTCATAGGGTTTCGTATGTGCTCTTTTCAATGCAACGATTTACAAGGTTCAAAAATACTTTTAGTCGGGTTTTCCAGAGACCGGATCGCTAGAAAAAGTTGATAAAAATATCTTTATTCTTATCTTGATTTCAATATCTTTATTTCTTATTCTTTGAACTTGTACATCATACCATTAGAAAGAGCGCATGCGAAAACCTAGGAAAATAGCATTTAGAGGCTTTCGTATCACTTTTATGGTACGTGTCCACGTGCCTAGTCAAAATCGCCCCCTGTGTGTTGGTTCCATCTTCATAGTATTATTGGAAGCTTCGAAAACCAGTTCAAGCAGTGGTCTTATTCCTTTATGTTGCACGTTTATGAACCAATTTCCGAGGAATGCATTCCCGTCACCGATGTATCAATTTCCCTTCGATCTGAACAATCTCGAAATTGGTCAGGTGGACGAAGAATTGTTGCGCTCAGTAACGGATGTTCTCTGGGTAGATTGGGCAATGAGCACGGGTTCCCAATGTGCAATCTCCGGAAATAGGATGACTGTTCAAATGAGAAAATTCGAAGTAAAAATTCTGATGAGTAGGCGTGTCAATAGACAGTATCAATAGATACCTCAGTATTTGTAAATAACTTCTCTGATATGCGTTTCTGCCACGAACGAAATCTTCCAATAACGTGTTCACGGGGCACAATTACAGAGAGAATAGCGGATCTCTACCAGCAATGGCTGCATGCAAAACTATTCATAGTTGTGATTAATTATTCCAAAAAGTTCTCTGTTATACATACGTTAAATACTTGATGAATGAATGACTTTTTTTCTTTGGCTACTGTCAGTCGATTTTTATTACTAGTGCGAGAGTGTTGTTATGTAACATTGTTGTTGAATGCGTCAGATGCACCTCTGGAGAAAAGATCAAAAGAACCGACAAAAAACAAAGAACAAAGAAAAGTAATAATGACGCTGCAATTCTCTCAAATGGTGAGTCACTTTTACGTTCTGCATTGTAAGATAATGTGTTTTATATTAATTTTTTCCTTTCTTTTTTCCTCATAAGCACAAACTAAGTGACTAATGTGAAAATAAAACATACTCACGTTCTTCGATAAATGATCTTGTAGTTCTGATAGAGTTGTTGCCGATTCGTCTTTAGTTCGACGATAGGATAGACGATTATTAGCTACAAATCGAACAGAATTGATCACGTCAAAATATTGATTATTTTGTCTAAATGGCATTACTGTAGGATAAGTTTCGAAGCCTAAGGTCCAATCATTGTCTGTTGCTCTTGAACATGGTTTTATGTTCGCCAGTTTCAATTTCTAAAATGAAAAGAATGCAAAGTAGCACATTGGATTCAGTAGATCGTAGATAGAGCAAGAACTTCAACCGATGAACGAGAGATTTCGATGTTGCTGATTCATGGGAAAAGATTTCCGTGATATTTTTTCGATCCAAGACTTATTGTGTTACACATGATTCGACGTAACTCGACGGGAGAGATAGTGATTTGAGAGCGAGGGTACTCTTCTATCAATGGAATTCGCAATTCGATCATGTGCAGAGAAGAGACCAAGAGGAAAACCTCACTTTAAGTGTGTGCATCTCCGAGTTAAGTGTCACTTTAAGTGTTTAAGTTCTGAAGTGTCACTTATCACTAGAATACCTGAAAATTTTCATGACCGAGAACGCGCAAAGCGGTCATATTATTACTGTACTAAACATCAAAGATGAATCTTAAAAACGAATATACAATCTTGTAGAGAATTAAATTGTCTATCGTTGGTATAGTGAGGAATGTTTTTTTCTGGAACGATAGTATTGTATGCAGTTTGTTTTATTAGGGATAAAAATCAAAAAACGGTCAAAATGACCGCTACGGGTCTTTCTAGTGTTAAGTGATTAAGTGTCATTTCAAATTCTGCATCTTCTTCAAAATTCAGGACTTCAGGTCCTAAAGGGTGTTTCATGAGTTCTGGGCCTCTCCGTATTTGACGATAACTTTTTTTCTGTTCAACGCTCAGACATAGGTTTTCTTCAAAAGATACGCCATCGAATTCTCTACAAGATATACTAAGTGTTTTATTCCAGAACAGAAAAATGTAAGACTGCATGCACTGTACCAGGCATGGGCGAGTCCGAACTGGAAGATTTTTGTATTTCGAGTCCGATCTATCCAACTTTTAACACAAATGAACAGAGAAAAATTAAAAGCGAAATAACAACACCTTCTGTTTCACAAGAAATTGAAAATTTTGTTCGGAAGCGGAAGATGCAGGCTAGCCTGATTTTCGAAAAATCAAATATCTATCCAGGGCTCAGTAAATTAAAAAAGAGAAATCAGTTCAGTTCAGTTCAGTTCAGTTTATTCTGTCATAGGCATAGCCATGGATACACGAAAAAAAACATTGCTGGTGCAAAAGTTTGTAACAAAATAAAAACTGCGTTTGATTAAGAATCTAGGCAGATAACTTTGTCAACATGTCCATAGAGGAAGAAGAGATGATACAAACAAAATGGTAAAGAGGAGAACAAAAGAGCAAGAAAAGAAAACCAGTAGAAAACCCTCATCCAAAAAGAATCTAAAAGATTACCCGACTCGAAACGGACTCGGGGCTCGGACTCGACTCGAATTTTTAATGACTCGGACTCGCCTATACTTACTATACAATTACTATTTTTATGAAGCAGTTGGAGAACAATGTAAAAAGACATTTATCAATAATGATAAAGCAAAATGAATTATTATGACTGTTAAGCATCCAATATTTAAAAATTCAGTGTCAAGATATTATTTTTAACAAAACAGAAAAACAAATCAAACAAGAACAAGATGATGAACAACAGTGATTAGGTATGTATGACAATGCTAAACATTTGAATTTTATTTATTACATTTCTTATGCACGAAATGGATGAAAATCAAAGTCTGATAGTCAATTTTGATTATTTTTTGGAAAATGTGAGTAACACGCAGCACAAATGGTCAGCGAAGTAATCTCGCTACGATTTTGTAAATCTATTAAACCAGCTTCTGTTTTGCTTTTGATTTTTTTCCCAACAATTGCTCTATTTTTTGAACTGCTTGTGGCTTACTTGCTTTTCTGGCATAACATAATCGATCTCTGTATTCAATTATTAATTTTTCTACAAATGATTTTGATGTGGCTTTGTGTTCAAATTGTTCCTTTTTCCTTTTCTATAAAAATGCGTTCTTCTTCTTCAAAACGTTGTTCAATATCAGAATCTAGGGTATGTGGAATAGCCCTAATACTATGTCTTTTGTGAAAATTCTAATAGTATTTTGATGCAGTCGTTTTAAGAATATTTCGACAACAGTAAATGAATTTGAACAAAATGTATCAGAAGACACTTGTGAAAGTGATGAAGACAATTCTCAAAAAGAAGAAGTTAGTAATAGTGCAACATTGCTGTCATTGGTTTCTAATTACCCATGGACAGTAAATTGCAGCATCTCCTACTCAAACGTTTAGAAGACCTGCGTAATTTCTACTATATACTAGCTTGATATCTTGGATTTTATATTATATGTCTAAATAAAGGAAAAAGTTTAATCCCTTTTTCTTGCTTTGCCAAAACTTCTATGCATACTCATGTTGATCGCTACAAATGGTCACATCACACGTGTAATAGCTAAATATTGTTGATCCGATCACCATACAAGATAGTCTAAGTCAAGGCCTACCTGACTGCAGCATCAGCATCGATAGAACTTCGCCATCCAAAAGTCGCCCATCAAAGGGTTAAACTTTACCAGCATATAAAAATTAATAGAAGAAATGGTGATCAATTGTCCATGATTCTCCTAACCTTAAAAGTTCCTCTCTCAAAAGATAATTTTGTACTTGTTGTACGAGCTGTCGTTAGGTATATAATTGACACAAAACGTTTTTCTACTTTATTAACCTTGTAAGCTACAAT